CAAAAAGAAAAATCCTTAAGACCATCTCCAACCCTTAGGCTAAAAGACAAATTTTTTAGCCCGAAAAATTTAGCTTTTAGCCCAGAAACATTTTTTATGCTCCAACTCTTCTGGTCTAAAATTTTAGCCCGGGATTATTAAAGAATGAATTTAGGCTAATTTTTTTCTTAAATTAAATTTAAAAAAATAAATATGTAGACTATCGTAAATTAATTTTATGAACATTTTAATCTAAAAATATTTAAATTCCGATAAATATTGAAAAATCACTAAATTTTCTACAAAGCAAGCATTCAACTTTCACCAAACTTTCAATTCACCAACCGTTCAACACCAAACTTTCAATTCACTAACCGTTCAACATCAAACTTTCAACTTTCAAATTGTAGGAGAAAATTGAGTTTTGGGTGGATGTTTGAACAAATACATAGGTATTTATAGAGTTTTTGGGTGAATTTTGAGTTAAATAATTTTTTTAATTATTTTAGCCGTTGGATTTAAATTTGGGCCGTTAGATTTGATTATATTCGATCTCGGCTGTTGGATTCAATGTATTTTAAAATAACATATTTAAAAAAAAAATTTGATTATGGACCATTGGATCAACCAACAGTCCTTAAATGATGGTCGTCCAATGCGTAACTGTGACAACCCATCCCAAATTTTACATTTTTATAAATTTTATAAGTGTGATTTTACGAAAGTACCCTTAGAGGCGAGGGTTTTGATTTTCATTGATCAGCGTATAGTGAGGCGTATGAAATTTTGCTTTAGCGTATCTTTGAAGTATTCGACAACACGGGCTCATAGGCGCAAACAGAAGAGGATTTGGAGTTACGATTAAAGTTCTACAGAACTCTAAACTGAGAAGTAATTTTATTTTGGTTACTATTTATATTTTTATATGTATATAATTATAAGTATTATTATTTGATTAGTTGTTGTTAAAAAAATTATGGGAACAGAAAGAGAAGGCATCGCGGGGAAAGGAAGGAAAAACAGAGAAAAAGAAATGGGCAGAGCTGCCCAATTGGAACAGGAGAAAGGGAAGAGTTAAGTCAACCAGAAAGAAAAGAGGAGTGAGGGACCAATGGGAGAGGAGTGAGGGACCAATGGGAGATGAGAGAAAGAAGAGAAAGGAGGAGGAAAGAATGAGAGGAACCCGACGAGTTCCCCTTGACCACCTGCAAACATCATCACACATTCCTTCCTTAGTTAACCACCAAAAAATTCGAAGTAAATGAAGCTATTTCACAGGGTATGGCGACAATGGTGCCGTGGAGCTTTTGGCGACAATTCACTCATTTTTGAATGAAATACATTCGATCTTCACCACCAGAATACTCCTCTAGAGACCAGGAACAAAGCCCAAACAAGTTTGGAGGTGTCGGAGTTGCTATGGAGTCGAATTGAGGACACCCAAATTCTAGGGTTCTGACAGGTTTTGATGAAATTGGAGCCTTTCCAGGCCAAATTGGCCTTGGTCACATGCGCTGATCGTTTGTGACTCCTCGATGGTTGTGCTAGGAAGTTGTAGCACGGACTCCAGGTGAGTGGATCTTTCCTTGCTCATCTTATGTTTCATGATTGATAATTCTATAAATGCTTTTAAATAAAACTGAGAAACTTATGCCATGACATATATATATTTATATGTTATAAAATACTATGAGATGGCTGAGTTAGATTTCATCGTGATCTATCCATATGCGTATTACTATAAATGATTATTGCGAACTACGAATGGCTTGATCCCTGTTTAGGGTACGTAGGCAGTCTAACGAAACGTTAGATGCAGCCGTATAAGAAATGAGATTAAATAATCGAGACCATAGCCTTGTTTAAGGAATTGAGCAATATGTGTGGGCTTTTAGTTTTAAGTATATATGTATACACTTGATGTTTCTCCCAGAAAATGCAATTATATGAGTTATGCTTTAAAAACGCCATGCCTATTGAATAATGCATAAACGATGAGTATTGTTTGCATATATATATATATATATATATAAATATAATTGTGGTGTTGTGAACGCTCTGAATTGCAAAGGTGAATGCATGACACACATGTAAGTTCAGGTAAGTTCGGGTAAGTTTAGGTAAGCTCAAGTAAGTATACGATATTAGTTGATTGATGAGATATGAATATGTTGTATAGGTCACTAGAAGTGACTCCGACTTATATGCTAGCCATGATTGATGAGATATGTAATGAGATATGAATATATCGTATAGGTCACTAGAAGTGACTCTGACTTATATGCTAGCCATCATTCATATCATATAGGTGACTATAAGTGACTCCGACTTATATGATGGCCATGATTGATGAGATATGTGATGAGATATGATTATGTCGTATAGGTCACTAGAGGTGACTTCGACTTATATGCTAGCCATGATTGATGAGATACGTGATGAAATATGACTATGTCGTATAGGTCACTAGAAGTGACTCCGACTTATATGCTAGCCATGATTGATGAGATAAGTGATGAGATATGAATATGCCGTATAGGTCACTAGAAGTGACTCCGACTTATATGCTAGTCATGATTGATGAAATATGTGATGAGATATGAATATGTCGTATAGGTTACTAGAGGTGACTTCGACTTATATGCTAGCCATGATTGATGAGATATGTGATGAGATATGAATATGTCGTATAGGTCACTAGAAGTGACTTCGACTTATATGCTAGTCATGATTGATGAGATAAGTGATGAGATATGAATATGTCGTATAGGTCACTAGAAGTGACTCCGACTTATATGCTAGCCATGATTGATGAGATATGTGATGAGATATTAATATGTCATATAGGTCACTAGAGGTGACTCCGTGACTCCGACTTATATGCTAGCCATGATTGATGAGATATGTGATGAGATATGATTATGTCGTATAGGTCACTAGAGGTGACTCTGACTTGCGTACTATTATGAGTTATTAATCGCATGATTATTTGATATTATTGATGAGATGATGTGTTGTGGTACATTATGATTTCTCTGGAAATTATACAGGTGTTGTAATGAGGGATTACATGTGTTATATGTTTTCTATTAGTATTTTACTTACATGGACACTCACATTTGTCTTGTCTTCACCCTCCAGGTAGTATTAGCTGAGTTTTATTATCACCAAAGACTCGCGGCGATTCTTAGTATCGGAGACTATTTCGAGGATACGATTCTTATATCATTTTTCTGTACTTACTTATGCTTTAACATCACGTGTGAAGTGGGTTCATTCCCGCTCACCAGTGCACTCTGGTATTTAGGCACTATGGTATTTAGGCACTCTTAGGTTTAAATTTATTCACAATATTTCCACGTCATCAAACTTAATGGCTTCGTCACATTCTAGGTGTCGGCCAACACAGCTTGATTCAGAATCCTAATGGATATTCCTGATTAGGGTGTGTCAGCAACCGTTAGGCTCGGGGAAGTGGCCGATAAGGGCCCTGACAGTAGGCCCCACACTGTCAGGAAACAATTTCAAACCTACCGCGTGTGGTGCGTTGGTGTGCCGAGACTGGCCCAAGTTTCAACGAGTCCACGCGTTTGGGGGGGGGGGGGGAATTGGGGGGGGGGGGAGGGTATTTGACCCAGCTTTAGCATTTGGGGTAATTTGGGTTGCGTGGTGTTTTTGGGGGGAGGGAGGGGGGAATAAATGGGGTAATTTAGCTAAAGGTAAATAACTATTTGTAGGGTTTAGAGAGAGTCTAAAGGTAAATAACTATTTGTAGTGTTGGTTCGGGTCAAGATCCTGAACTAAAACCCAATGTTTGAATACTGAATTGATCCCTTTTAAAAGGGGATTTCAGAATCCGAAACCAAACCGAAATTTCGGTTTTCTTGAAAAAATTTCGGAATTTTGGTACGGTTCGAGATTTCAATTCCTATTTGCCTTCTTGTAAATGGAGGCTCGTGATTAGTTCAATTGAAACCTGCATCAAAATCCCAAACCGAAAAAATCAAAACCCTAATTCCACCTTTGAATCCCGAAATCTAGAGGTTGAAATTCAAATTAGTTCATATCCATTATTCAAATCAAAGAAAAGTAACAACCTTGGGAGCGACGGTGGCGGCGGCCTTGAGCCTAGATCTGAGCTTGATGCTGGAAGGTCTAAGCTGAGATCTTTGCTTGAGGTTTGAAGGATTGAAAGTAGCTGCACTTGCTAACGACGACGGCGAGCCCATTGGTCCCGAACCCACCAAACGAGGATGAGCTCCTTGAACCCAGCAAACGACTCAGCCAATAGAGCAAGATCATCATCCGTCGCGGACATCCGCTTCAGGCAGAGCTTCTCGAGCCATTAGTACGCCTTGGCCTAGGAGGACACCCACGACGCCATGGACTGACAAATGTGGAGAATAAGGAAGGAGGAGAGTTCGAGAGATGAACAATTAGGGAGGAAGAGAGAGATATGAGAGTCGACAACTCGAGAGAGGGCATGGTGTGGACCGTGGTGGCTGGAGGGAGTTGAGAGGAGAGGGTATGGTGTGGTGGTCGGAATCGATACTGGGAGAAGGTGGGGGAAGGAGAGGTAGAGGCGGAGAGAATAGAGAGAACTCGGGAGAGATGAAATATTTGGAGAAATAACCACAAATTTGACCATAAATATACATTTTAAACCAACAATTATAAATTTTCATAATTCTAACCAAAATTAACATAAAAATACTGCAATGTCCTTTAGTGGAGTTCACACTTATTTGCTTTGCCCGACTGCGTTCACACCATGGCTGACAGCCACTAAAGCTATTGGTCAGATGTAGCTTTTGGACAAAGATCCGGAATTTCCACCTGAAGTCTGAATATTTTCAATTTCTGGAGCTTTGGAGTTCTGGGCTTCTTCTGCAACTGGGTCTTACAATGAAACACGGTGTATATGCAGAGAGGTTCGTAGCTGAAATTGCAGTGAAGGAAAACAGAGTCTCTGGGTGTTCTCTAATTGTATACTAATCTCTGGGTTTTGGCTCACAGTTTGGTAGGGCTATCTTGTGCTCTGATGCTGCTACAGAAGCTGCTAGGTACGGGTTTACTGAGTCTGTGGACAGACCGGAAGGATTCTTGGTTTTAGGTGTAGCTTCTCAGGGAGACCAGATCACCAAGATTAAGACCCCACCGGAGGTATTATCCGAGAATCTGGTTTTAATTCAAAATTCTCGGAACTGTTTCCATTCAGTTTTAACCCAAAATGGCGTGTGCAATTCCATGACGCAGGATACCGAGTCTTTAGAAGAGAAGAGCTTCTGGGAAATGCTTCCATTCAATTGTCCAAAGCATTTGCATAAACAGCGAGGAAAATAAGTAATTAAAATAGCGATTGAAAAAAATGGATAGACAAAACGGTTTCGGGACTTTTTTAGTTTGGTTCGGGAATTTCACTATTTTTTTCCTCCCCTACCTATTTGTATAGCTGAATTTTGCTTGAATATTCAGTTGTTCATTCTGTCTAGAATACGATTCGATCTCAAACCCAGATACCAAAAAGTGCAGAAGATTGTAAAGCAGGAACCGTCTGAATTTGTTTATTATTTTACATCATTGTGGAATCTGCATATCCTGCATTTACCGTTGCATATTTGCTTGGATGATACAAGGGAATCAATAACAACCATTCTTTACCATATTTTAATTCAAATAGATTAAATAACTGTACATTTTTAGCAAATTTAACTCTCTTTCAACAATCTTGAGAAGATCTGATGATGCATTTTCCAGTTTCATTAAGATATTGATGATAGCGACGAGCGAAATATTGCTACGTAATGCGCTAATCATTCGAGTACTTATTGCTTTAAGCCTTAAATCTGCAATAATTTGAAGAAAAAAAAATTACAAGCATATATTATATATATGCAGGATTCTCATTGGAAACCCCAGCTCTGTAATATTACAAGTTGCAGGATTCTCACATTAGAATCGGAACACGAACATGCATGGCAGTTAATCAGCATACCGAACTCGTCATTCATGGTCGTACACTCTTAATACAAATCTAACTTGAAGAACTAAAGAGGGGTTTAACAATCAACAGTCAAAATACATGTTTCATAAGCACATATAATCTGATGTTGTAGGTAGCTGCATGTTGTTGTCATTCTTTCTTCTCTTCCTTGGATTCAACCTTCTTCTCTTCTTTTGCAGCAACCTTCTTCTCTTCCTTGGTCACATTCGTCGCCGCCGCCTTGACCCTTGCTTTGCCCTTCTTGGGCTTCATGAAGCAGAAACAAGAGCAGCAGGGACACTGGAATAAGAACTTCATAGCTTACTTAACCCAATAATTCTCTGCTCTCAAATTTTCCTCAGAACTATATGTATAGCAAAAGTACTTGAGCTTTGCGTTGCATTTCTATCTTCTTTCTTATCTAATTATTAATCTCGTGGGCTCATTTAGCATTATAATTTAATAGTTTTTTTTTACGTGTAAATAAGAAATTTTATGTTCGATTCTTATCAAATGTGCTTTTGAATTACATTATTGGTGGTCCATTATAAGGTTTTAGCCTATTCTTATACTCTGAATGAAAATAATATCGTTTGTTAAAAAAAAATTATTAATCTTGCAGGGTTTATAGAAAAAAAATAAATAAAAAGAGAAAATACAGCCATTGGATTCCACTTCAATCACCATCAAGAAGCAATAAAAGAGATGCCTCCCTAATAATGCCAACTTTGGAGTGGGACTAGCTAGCGATCTGTGGGGCTGGCCGGTGGCCAAGATCAACGGAAGGGGAACCCCTGGATCATTTCCTTCTAATCCATCGAGTTTAGGGATTCGGGCTGTTAAAATTTGATCTAACAGTTACAAACAAAAACTTACTTTAAAAGTTATAATAACTTTAGCCGTAAGATAAAAAATGGTCCAAATCTCCGAACTTTCTAGATTAAGAGAAAATGATCCGAAGATAATCAATTTCCAAAATCAACAAATGAAGGTAATAATTCTTCAGAAGAATGTAAGCAACTTTTTAATTTTACTTTCTCGGTTCTCTTTTTCATTTTATAATATTACACAGATAATTTGTTCTGTCTATTTTTAGGACATCATATGTAAAAGTTTAATTAAATTGAAGGTAATTTAGTTATTTAATAGTTATCTAATAAATAAACGAATCATGTTTCTCTCTTCAACAATGAAATCTTGACAACTGTATTTGAACAGTTAAATTATTTCATTGGGGGTGATCTTCTGGCATAATTGATCCATTAAAAGGTAGATTCGGATCTAACATTGCAGAACAAATAAGAGAAAAAAATAGTTAAACCAACAAATTCAAGTGAAAAAGTTAGTAACATTCCCCTTCTCTTGATGGGCTATCCCTTGTGGGGTCATTCTGTAGCATGCATACGAACAAGAGCAACTATTCTTGTTTTCTTTTTCACAGAGTCTGAGTGAACTGGCAAGCAATAAAAGCAAATATGTTTTATTTACATCACCAATCATTTAAGAAAACTAATAAAAAGAATTTGAAAATTTTAAATTTTAATTAAAAAGATAAAAAGATGTTGTAAATAAATAGCACCAGAAATAATTTTTTAAAATAAAAATATCATTTTTTATTAAAGTAAATAGTACTTAAAATGTTTCGTTAAAATTCCTTTATTATTTCCTAATTTTAATGATTAACTCCAGGGTAGGATGATGTTCCACAAACAAATAATGCATACTAGCTATTGATTGTTTTACAACAGCACCCACTTTGCTCCCACTGCGGGCGGATAAAAGTGAGGGAGGCATGTGACCGAGTGTCAAACTACTAATGGAAAGAAAATATTCTCAATTGATTTCATTGTCTTTTTATTTTTACGCAAATAATATTGGAGAGAAAGTGAACTCAAAACTACAGGTGCTGAGTGAAACTGTGAAAGCGTTGAACCACTTCAACTACAAGTTCCGTGCATTTTTAACAATAGTGTACAGTTAGATTTTTCGTATTTTACTGTCAATTATAGGAGGAAAGATTTGAACTTGAATGCAAATGATGAAGCACATTGCTTTAAACAATTTAGTTAACTCTAACTCTGTAACTAACAACAGTTTTATGATGCTGATTGAATTGTGATTTGAAATGGGGGTGGATTGATCATTGAACAATACAATCAAATTTCATTCGTCGAAAGATTTTACCAAATTTTGGTAGAGTTTTCTCTGTTTCTTTTAACTCTATAATCAAAATTCATTAGTGGACAACCCCTTTGATTTTTACCAAGTTAAATTTCTTGTATGATATTTTACATTTCTTTAGTTTTTCATTTTTTATTTTTTATTTTTTTATTTTTAAAGAACGGCATATATTTCATAAAAGCCAGGAAGACTAATTAGTACAAGGTAAAGAAACATCATTAATAATAAGATCATTGATTATAACAGGAGGTTTATCTACCCAAATACAAAAAATTTAGACCATTTCTCAATTTATGCGTGTTATCCTTGCGTAGGAGCTATGCTAATCTTTTTTGTATCGTTCCAATTTTATCAAATGTCCCTGAAAGGACATTTTTTTTTCTTTAGTTATATGCTATATGTTGCAGTCAAAACTTGGATTACAAGTTGATTAGATAAAATTTGAATTCCATACCTATGTCGACCCCATGATTATCTTTTACTTTAAATAATTTAATTACAGGCCATTTGATAACCATTTTGTTTTCATTTTTTTTGAAAATTAAAATTTCTCAACAAAAATTTAAATGTTATTTTTGTGAAATTTAGCCTGACTTTTTTAATGGATCGTGAATTTTTCCTTTTTCTATGTATGTTTTGTCGCATACAATGGCAAGTTGAAGAAAGTTGGCAATATGGAGAGTAACCCAACTTACTTATAAGCTCATGCAAGGTTCCTCCTCTCATCAATGTGAGACTCATTCTCAATACGCCCCCTCATGTGTGGCAAATTTTTAAGCTTAACATGTGGACAACACAACGAGGTGACATGGTGCTCAATATGTGACTCATTCTTAACACGCCCTCTCACGTGTGACCAATTTTTAAGCCTAACACGTGGACAACACAACGGGGTGACGTGGAGCACGTGTGGCTGTTTGCCTTTACACCTGGGACAACCTGCTTTGATACCACGATCATGGTTCATCTACCAAACTGAGGATCCTGTCTTCTTTGAAATCAAGGATGCAAAGGTACAACCTATAGAACAGAGAGACGGGCCGAATGCCCACTTCTAACAACACCGATACTATCCCCAACTACCACCTGCACAATTCGTCATGTGTGGAGTTTTATCACAAAAGGCCTCGATGTTAGTTAGAGTAGGGTAATCCTATTTAAATTGGTTTTCTCCTTTCCATATGACGGATGCGGGATTCTGAACGCCCCCGCACTTGGGACCCTATTTTGTGGGTCACACATGGAGATCCACGCATCAGCAACCATGTGAAGCCAAGGGTACTCACATACATGCAGGGCCAAGGAGACCCACCCATCATCGCGCGGGGCCAAGGAGACCCACCCATCACGTAGCAATATAGTACGCACCCACTCTCTGACTTTGATACCATGAAGAAAGTTGAGATTCCACCATAAAACCAATTAGCAATATGGGGAATAGCCCAACTTACTTATAAACTCATGTAAGATCCTTCCTCCCAATGTGGGACACATTCTCAACAAAAGCGAATGCCCAAGCTTTCTTTGAGGAAGCTAGATTGTTATACGAAGAATGCACCCCTACTGCATGGACACATATGCATGTTGCAACAGCTTCTCTGTTGGTAACATGTTAGTTTCAAACATATCTTTGGGTGGCATGGGAGATATTGTAATGAGTCAGGTATATGAGTGGTTTCAATAGCCCTATAATTCTTAGAGCTTCCCGTATCATTTTCAGGCTCATGAATCATTTTCAGGCTCATGAATGACATTGGTGGCTACAAACGTTCTGACTTTGAAGATTAAACTACATTAATTTTGTAATAACCATGCACATATACATCATATATAATTGAGAGTAATTAATTAGTAACCAAAAATATATTTGGTTTTGTTCATCCAGTTTGACGAAGATAGGGAGCATGCTGCACCTAGTATGGATTGCTACATGAAGGAATATGGGTAGTCAAGAGGAACCTGCAATTAATATGTTTAAACAAAAAAATTGTGGAGATGTGGAAGGATATAACTGAGGAGTGCCTTAGACCAGTTGATGTGCCAATGCTTGCGGATCTTCAAACCTCATTTTGCATGGAGGTGTATTAAAAGAAACATTTACATGTAAAATATTATATGGAATTGTTATTGACACTTTAAAATTTTAATTACACATTTTATAATTGAAAAAAGGTGCACAATTATATTCTTTCTTTTTTCTTCGAAGTGCACAATTATATTCTTAAATAGTTCTCACGTATCTCAACAGTGACAAAGATCAAATCTTTTTTTTTTTTTTCAAAAGAGAATTATATTGATCAATCAAATATGAATGGAAACATTTGCATCTTTTGCTAAGATAATAACCATAAATTATGGTCCTAACTCATCTCAACCAAAACTCCCCGAACATATGCTGCCACCAGATGGGCTGCATTTATATTGATGAGGAATGAAGATAAACTTAATCGAGTGGAAAGAAGGTACCATGGCCCAAATATCAACTAAATGAACCTCCATTGACACGTCCGCTTGCATCTCCTTATTGAGCATTTGAATTAGTCCTTTTGAATCGGTTTCCACCTCTAGCACCACCCTTGACTCCGGGAGATTACTTTGAACGGACATCTCTAGCCCCTGACCATGGAAGAAAATATCGATAATATCGGCGAAATATCGCCGATATTATCGGTTTTTCAGGTAATGGATATTTAAATAGGTATCCAAATGGTTTTCGGTAAAATATCGCGATATTTTTTTAACCGTGCTACTTGGAGAAGAACGCCGGAGCTTCTACAGCTCCGGCCGACCACAAACAAGGGTTCTAGACCCCGATCTAGGTATCAAACAAAAGCACGAGACGAGAGGAGTGCGTTTATACCTTCCATTTGCCGTGAAACGACCCGTGGTGGTCGAAAAACCTCTCGACACCCACGGTCTCGCCGGAGATGGGTGCGCCTATTCCCGGGCTGATTCCGTGCTAAAGTCTTGGTAAAAAGGACAAAATAACCTCAATAATCACATCCAAGCAACAAACCAACACGGAAAGAGAGGTTCGAGGCTTACCTAACCATAACCCATGAAGAACTCGCCGGAGGTTCTTGGGGTTTCGTCGAGTTGCGCAGCGACGGGAGAGAGAGAAAGAGAGAGAGAGAGACGACGGCGTGTAGAAGGTGATGACGATGCCGTCGACGGAGTACCACGAAGGGTGTGCGTGGGTGCTCTCGGGTGTGGGTCAAAGGGTGAAAGAGTGAGGGTCTTCGAGAGAGGGAGAGTGAGTGCAGAGAAGAAAGAAGGAGAAAGAGGTCACGGGGTGGGGAGAGAGAGAGATACGTGAGGGTGCTAGGGTGCTGCCATGTGGTAGCTTGAGAGAATTTGGAAATCAAGATGAATGGTCCAGATTTGGTTGGAAATCAAGATGAATGGTCCAGATTTGGTTAAGATAGGGGACTAAAACGATAATTTCATAATTATTTGGGGAACCACGAAAATATATAAAAATTTGGGGTTGGGTTGTTACAGTGTGTCTGTGCGTGTGTGTGTAGAAGTGGGGTGCACTTTGAAGTGTGTGTGTGTGTAGAAGTGGGGTGTGTGTGTGTTATCCGAGAGAAGAAAAAAAAAATCCAAACCTGCTTTCAAAATATCCAGGCTATGTGTCAGTCTGTGTGTGTTATCTGAGAGAAAAAAAAATGCAATATATAAAGTGTAAAATATTGTACTAATTCATTGTATATAATGATTGTGGTGTCTTTAAACTTTTTTCATTAATTACTACATATTTTTTACACTCACAATGTTTGCCAGCTCGCTATATAATCAATTTAAATCAGTTAAATTCATCATGCAATGCATTTCCTTCCAATTTTTTGTGATAAACTAATAGATAATTGACTAAATAAACATCTTGCAAAGTTTCAATTAAAATTTCCAAGTTTTTCTTACAATTTTCGTGGTTTCCATGTAATTTTTATCGATATTTCCGTGTTTTCGGACTACCAATATTTTCGATATTACCGATATTTAATACCTTGCCCTTGACGAATTGACGCCGCCTAAATTTGGGCCTTTATTATTTTGCATCAGCCGAAATTCAAATATTGTGGGACAGAGAAGGGAGAGAAAGAGTGTGGGACAGAGAAGGGAGAGAAAGAGTGATTGAGTGGGATGGAGAGGGTGGAAAATGATGGAGAAAAAGATTAGATTAATAATAAAACATTAATAATTGTGGATTAAATAATATAATATTAGAATTTATTAATTGTCTAGTTTATTAGTCCGACACTGATCAAATATTGTCCAACTTATCTATTTTAAACAATGTATTAAAAGTGTGAGGCGTGGGCGAGGCTTCCGAGGTGAAGCCCGACCTGGGATTAAATATATATATATATATATATTATATAAATGTATGAAAAAATAATACTTTGTAAAATAAACATCCATTCTAAATTTATCATTCAAATCTATAATCATTCAAAAGATAATATCATCTAAATTCATCATTCAAAGGTAATATCATCTAAATTCATTGTTTTGTACCATACTTGACCAATCCTGAAGCTACTGAGCACTGGTCAACGTTATACCGTCAAGGACCCAGAAGAGTTTCCCTCTAACCAGGAGGCCAATCACAGCGCGACACGTGTCGACATCAGAAGCCAATCATAGTGCGACACGTGTCAATATCAGAAGCCAATCACAACACGACACGTGTTAATGTCAAAACAAAGCTAGAAACTCTCTTCTATAAAAAGAGATCATTCTCCCACAATATTTCCTAATGTCATTTTTACTAAATCATTCACTAGTACTCACTAAAGGAGAGCTTGAACCTATGTACTTGTGTAAACCCTTCACAATTAATGAGAACTCCTCTACTCCGTGGCGTAGCCAATCTGGGTGAACCACGTACATCTTGTGTTTGCTTCCCTGTCCCTATCCATTTACATACTTATCCACACTAGTGACTGGAGCAATCTAGCGAAGGTCACAAACTTAACACTTTCTGTTGTACCAAAGTCCTCACTGATTTTGTACATCAACATTCATCATTCAAAATGTAATACAAACAAAGAAATCAATCATTCATCCAAAAGATAATTTACCACCAACAATTTATTAATTTATACACCAACCATTCTAAAGGCTGGTTTGGTATTGCTGTGCTTTAATAAGCGGCTGTGCTGTGAGAATAAGCGGCTGTGCTGTGAGAATAAGCGGCTGTGAAATAAATCAACAGAGTGTTTGGTAAACTTTTTTGTAAAAGTGCTTTTGGAAAAAAAAAGCAGTCTAATAGTGGGTCTTTTCATTAAAGAAGCACTGTAGCTCCGTGTGCTTTGAAAAAAAACCAGTTTTCCAAAGCTGCAAATAGCAGCTTCAGTTTTTTCCTTTGATTTCAGCTTATTCTCACAACAGCTTCCAAAATAAGCCCTTTTTTTTTTCAGTTTACCAAACACCTAAAACTCTCACAGCTTTTTTTCATGGGTGCTTTTTTTTTAAACACCTCACTCCCAAACTAGGTCTAAGTCAAATGTCGCCCCATATTTATGGCGCTAGACAGCTGGCGTTAGAAGCACTTTTCAAGAGCTTTCCAGTACAGATGGTGAAAGTAGGTTTATTTCAGTAATATTATTTAGAGTTTAAAAAGAAATAAAAGAATTAAAAGACCTGCCTCTATCCTTGACTGCTTCATATCTCAGACCCAAAACTACTACATCACAGTATCGCACCCAGCCCTATCCTAGAATGCTCCGTCTTTCCTACCCCTACCACAAATTGCTCCTCAACTCCTATATCAAGTGAAAAGTATTACATCACAGACTCATAGTTCACACCAATGTTCGACGGCGGTGTGGCGACTGTTGCTGCTCTAAACGGGCAGCGGTTGTTGTTTTGGCTCGTGAGAGAAGAGGGTCAAGAAGGCAGAGGATGATCGAAGGTATGTATGGTCCTCATATGGTGGATTTCTGGAATTAAAACTCAAAACCCTTACCCCAAACGGCGTTGTTTTGGGTTTGGGTGGTTTAAAAAAATTAAAAGAAAAAAAAGGGCAGAGAAGGCGCCTGGACGCCTTTAGGTGCGCCTCCGCCACCTCGGCATCTCCAGAGATGCCTTTCGCTCACTCCATCAAAACAAAGGCGTTAGCCTTCACGCCCAGCCTCAAAGGTGCCCTAAGCGCGTCCCGAGGCTAGTTTTTTAAAACATTGATTTTAAACCAATTTAGCTTAATTTTAAAATTAACTAATCCGATAAAATCCGGTACAACAATTGCACTCTTAAAATTTTAATAATGGTTCTCACATATCTCAACTAACAGAGGTCGTCGTACCCAGTGCACAAGGCTCCTGCTTTACGCAGGGTCTGAGAGAGGTGAATGTCGGCTAGCCTTACCCCCATTTTATGGAGAGGCTGCTCCCAAGTCTCGAACCCGAGACCTACCGCTCATGGACGAAGGCACTTACCATCGCACCAAGTGCAACCTCTTACATATCTCAACTAACAGAGACCAAATCTAAATTTGGGCCTTTATTATTTTGCATCATCCAAAATCTGAAATATTTGACTTACTAATTTGCAAGATAACATGCGACACTGAACTGCCATATCAAAAGAAGAGGGATCCTTGTGCTTGCTCCACGTGTCCAAACCGCTCCACGCGTCTCTCACCTTGAGCTGCAACTGCAAACCTTCGCATATCATCAATTTTGACACTGAATCGAGCGCTACCACAGTTGATGAGGAAGAATAATATATAAAAGCGGGTAAGAAAACAAAGCCACCAAAACATGGCAAAGCCAGCAACAATGTTGATCATAGCAAGAAGGGCTATTGCCTCTAAAGCTTTGCAATTGACTCAACCCTCCGGCAGATTCTCCAAGATTTGCTTCTCCACTGCCTTTCAAGGTGCTGATGTACAATTTTTTGTGTTTTTTATTCTACAATTCTTATTTACGAAATTCGAATTCAGTATTACCTAGCACAAAAATAATATGTATGTTCTCCTAATAAAATACCGAGCCTTATTTTGTCAAGCTATGAGACTGACTCTATATATCAAAACATTAAAACAAAAAGAGCAATTTATATGACATGATACAATATATACATCAATATTGTGGTTAGAACATCAGTGTCATGAGACGCTATGGTAGCAATCTACCCGTTCCCTATAAACTCGTGTCATAGAACTTCATCTGGCGAGGTTCTTTTAGAGAAGAGTATATGTGATCAGCGCTTCATACGATAGTCGGACATAAATAGGTGACAAAAATAACATGGCTTTTCAATCTTAATTTTATTTTCGTTCATATCAATCTTGTCATGGGTTCATAAGGTTAAATGTTCAGGGTGCCAATGCAGTGGCAGATGCAAGAGAAAGTGGGGGTGAAGTTAGCGGGACATCAAGATTGCCGACAAAGGAGACGTTGAAGGAAGGGTTATACGAAGCCAGACATCAAGATCTAGCTGGTACGAGTGACCATGCAGAAGATGGACCTATGAAAGCCACTGAGATGGCGGAGGAGTCTGGGAGAGACAAGCCAAGCCCACCATGGATGGTGCGTGGAAGGCAAGCATAACAGATCAAAGGCCCAGCGGGGCCGGGCAAAGATCGTCATCATGATCATGAATACGATCCGGTCCAAGGGCCTATTGATGATCTGAGAAACCGTGCAGGAGGATATGATCTCAGTGAAAAATTGAAGGGGGTATTGTATGGGGTTTTTATGCATGTTTGTGCTTGTAGGAGGAAGTGAGGTCGTGTAAGGATGTGATTCCTATTTCAAATTAAAAAAAATAATAATAATACTGAAAATGGTTTACCTTAGTGGGAAAATGATCCCCGGAACCTTTTTTCTAGTGGGATTATGTGATCTTACTCGTTCATCGTATATTGTATGGCTATTTTTCGTTAGGTATTATTCATATTTAATTTTAAATTTTAAATTTTGAAATGATTTATGACCGCATTATATATGATGAACGGATGAGATCACGAGATCCCTATCCTTTTCTACCTTAGTGTAGTCCATGCATGGTGATGAATGGGTGTATAGAAGGAGGGAGAAAAACGAAAACCTTGCTGAATTTTTTTTCTAAAGTCAAATTTCAAAAACCACTTTCATTTTGAGCACTAAATATTTCCTTTTAAATGATAATAAGTAAATATGTTGTCGAAGTAACATTTTTTTATTCCTTGATATTGGGAGTGGGAATTGAACTAAATCGAAGTCAGCTATAATTAGTATCAATTTTGACTATGCTATTTTTGAGAGCAGAACATAACACTTTCACTTGTAGGGTAGTGTTAGTAGCGTTTTCGGATTAACTTCAAAAAAATTGAAGTGGTTAACAAACGAGATTTATTAGAAGATAAAACTCCACAAATCACCCGTTTCATGTGGGTTTCTATGGTAATCTTGTTCATGTGATAAAGAACTCTAATAACGTTATATGTTTACAAGCATCTACTGTTGATCACATAGTGATCAAGAGATCTAGGGGTTATTAACATTTGGATTTTAGATTATGGGACGAGAATGAATGGATATGCTTTTAACATTTTAAGCTTAATTATAGATATCAAATGCAAGAGTGTCTCACTATTAATTTTTTTATCATCAGGTGACCAAGAGCAATCTTCATTCAAACTGAACTTTCTATCCAAATTTTCTCCAAGTACGAGCACATCAATCGAAAGGTAGAAGCACCCTTTCAAGCCTAATTTATGTATTAATAAGCTTCAACTCATGTTTACTTACTTGGTATGAGAATAAAACGAAAATTGTACAGTTAAGAAAAGGATGAGGTGCAAATAAGTCTGTATGAGATAGAAAACCTCTTTTTGGTTACTCATACGTACTTTCCTTTTTACGGTTATGCTATATCTAAACACTATCGAATCCACTCATTTTTTCATTCTTTTGCTGTTAGTATACACATGTATTGAAACAATACACATTCTTTACAAATTTAATTCGTACTAATAAACAAGAAGATATATTAACCCGCATATGAAAGTGAAATTCGACATAAGTTTTTATATACTGTTTGTACCATACTTGACCAATCCCGAAACTACCGAGCACCGGCCAACGCTATACTGTCAAGGACCCAGAAGAGTTCCCCTCTGACCAGGAGGCCAATCACTACTCGACACGTGTCAAGATTAGAAGCCAATCAGAGCGCAGCACGTGTCAACATCAAGAACCAATCATAACATGACACATGTCAATGTGACAAAGCTACAAGTTTTTCTATAAATAGGGGTCATTCCCCCACAATATGGCCGAATGCCATTTTTGTGTTAAATCATTCACAAGAACTCACTAAATTGAGAGCTTGATCCTTTGTACTTGTGTAAGCCCTTCACTACTAATAAGAACTCCTCTACTCCGTGGACGTAGCCAATCTGGGTGAACCACGTACATCCTGTGTTTGCTTCTCTGTCTCTATTCATTTACGTACTTATCCTCACTAGTGACTGAAGCAACCAAGCAACCAAGCGAAGGTCACAAAACCTGACACTTTCTGTTGTACCAAAGTCTTCGCTGATTTTTGTGCATCAACATTTGGCGCCGTCTGTGGGAAACGACACTTTATCCTACTCTCTTCAGCTGTGTCAAGCTGGTTTCTATCATTCGTACACTTTCTTTTGATCAGGCATCCCTCTCCAACATGGGAAGCGAAGGAAGCCACAGCACACAGAATGACACCCCCCTTTGCACATAGTGCGAAACAACGAAAGAAAGGAAGGAAAACGAGTTCTTCTTCAAGCTAAAGTCGATGAGTTGGAAGCTCAGAACAACAAGATAGCAATGAGGAATGAGGTCCTCCAGGAGCAATATGAGAAGCTCTTCGAGACACTCCACAAAGCTAGGCAAGCTCAGACACGCGAGCTTGTTGCCCCGTGGGAGAGCTTGTTGCCCCCGTGGAAGTCAACCATCAACTGGGGGTGCCCTCCAACATGGAGGGTCACATGCATTCGACATAGATATCCCTGATAGGGAACAGATTACCCTCGACTTGATAATCAACATGAGGCTTCTCTTAACCCAGTTGCTTCGACCCGAACCATGAGAAGTGGAGGGAGACACCTCTTTGGCTGAAGGGGCAGAAGGATCGAAAGCCGTCTTTCGCGATTGTCGGGATTTTCCTGAAGCAACGTCGAGAGAATTCCATCCATATAAGCTCAAAGATCAATGACCCAAGGATTTCTGAGAGACTCGGTCCCCTGCCACGGCCCAAGCCGGCCACCAATTTGGGGAAGGGGCAACAAGTCCTAGAGAGACATGAGGGTACAGGGGACTCAGAGGTGTTCCGACAGACATACCCTGGAAGCCAGTACAGCGAGTCCAGGGAAAAATCACATGCCCTTGATCAAAACCTTCTAATTCCAATAGGAGATGGAGATTTACGAAAGAAAGCTCCAGTGACACATAACTCCGCAGGACCCCCTTGTCCTACAACTTCTTGAGGAAGTAAACAAGTTGAAGGCTGAACGTCAGGCTGAAATACCTGATTGGAACCAACCCAGGCCTGGCCCTCTTACAAGGAGGATCCTCAACACCCCCCTTCAAGCAAAGACAAAGCAAAAGCTTGGCTTGCAACTTTATACTGGAAAAGAGGACCCGATTGAGCACCTTAACCTCTTTTGAGTCCACCATGGCATACCGGATGCACACCGACGAAGAGCGATGTCTTCTCTTCCCCTCCACCCTCTCTAGTGGAGCTCTAAATTGGTATTGTCGTCTTACACCTGAGACGGTAGACTCATTTTGAGGAATTGAGGAAACTATTTTGTTTCCCAACACATTTTCCAAACCGATCGCTTGCACTCTGCAGATGACTTGTACACTATCCGCCAGAAGCCAGACGAGTCATTACGTATGTATGCTGGCCGCTTCAGCCATGATACTCCCGGTGTGCCGAGGCAGACGACAAAGACTGCCCTCAAAGCCTTCACGGCAGGCCTACGTGATTGTTTTCTTTAAATACATGATCAATGCCAATACTTGGAAGACTTACTCTGAGGTGATGGCGCATGCTTATAACCATGCCTCGCCGAGGCAAAGACATATCAGGAGAAACCCCCTACAACCATCCTTTATCAACAAGTGGGAGGTGGAAGCCAGACTCACCTAAATGAGAAGACCTCGACTTTCCAAACAGCAGTGGCACCTCCCCATGCCTTGCATAATGCTTCACCGAATCAACAGACATATATCAATTTCAAGGCAAGAGGAAGGATTTCCATCCTCACCACTCTCCTTTCAGTAAAAGAGTAAGGGACACTATCCCGATAACCAAGGGTATCGCCACAATAACGCTCGCCCCCAGGCAGTCAATGCAGTGGGTCAAACCCGCGTCAAAGATACCCCCTACCCCAAGGTATGAGACATACACGCCCTTGAATGCCACATGCGCGGCCATTTACCCCAGCATAGCTCACCTGATACCAAAGCCAAAGCCGAGGCACCCAGATTACACGCCCCCGAATAACGCGGGCATGTTTTTGTTGCTACCATGATGAGCATAACGGCCATGATAGCGAGAAATGTATCATCCTCCGTGATCGTATTGAAGCTTTGGCACGAGAAGGAAAAATTGATCAATTCCTCCTTCACCCTCAAAGGGATAACCGTAACCAACGCCAGGTGAATGTCATATATTCCATAAGCGGCGGCACACCCATATCTGAATCTTCCAATAGGGCCATGAAAAACAGTGAACGAATTCTGAGGCCTGGTCACCAAGTGTTTCACGTGGAAGACATCAGGGAGGGAAGTATCAAAAGCCTAACTGGGATCCGATATGTTTCTACCCTGAGGAAGAAAGAGGCATCATCTACCCTCATAACGACCCATTGATCGTGGAGGCTCTCACATAGCCAACTTTGATGTTCGACGAATCCTCGTAGACACAGGGGCTTCGGTCAATATCATGTTTGCCGAAGCTTTCAGGGCACTCAGTGTAGCTGAACACTTGCTCGATCGCTCGATTTCTCCATCTGATAAGCTTCTCCGGTGATATCGTGCAACCCTTAGGGAGCATACATTTACCCTTTACTATTGGTACAGGGCCCTTACACGGCTACCATTACCACTAACTCTTCCTAGTGGTTGACTGCCCAACGGCATACAATGTCATCTTTGGGCGCACAGGCATCAATGATCTCAAGGCTATGGTATCCACACATATGCTGTTGATGAAATTTCCAACCCCCCATGGCAACGGCTACATCAGAGGAGATCAGCTTAGTGCACGATCATGTTACAACACTTCAGTTAAGCAACAACACTTGCCCGGACCCAAGGAAACCCTGTCTGTACATGACCAAGTCACAAAGACCAGCCTAGATGAAGCGAACTTGGATCTTCCTGATAGCAACAATCAAACCCGATGATCCTCGAGATGACTCTTTCACCCAGCAAGCCCAACCTGCTGAAGAGTTGGAGAAGGTACCTATCTCAAGAGATTATCCAGATCGCATGGTGAAGATTGGCACCACATTGTCACCACCCCTTCGGTTAGCATTGATATCTTTTTTGAAAGAGAACACTGAAGTCTTCGCCTGGTCATACGAGGACATGCCAGGCATCTCTCCCGATGTCATCTGTCATCGTTTGAGTATTGACCCCAAGATCAAGCCGGTGAGACAGAAGCGAAGATCTTATGACGCTGAACGATACAAGGCAATGAAAGCAGAAGTTGAAAAACTCAAAGGCATAGGCTTTGTCCGCGAAGTCAATTACCCGACATGGGTAGCAAATGTGGTCCTTGTTAAGAAAAATCCGA